CTCTAACCTTGCTTGAGGCGACTTCTGGCGTGGAGGACAGGAAGGCGGGTGGGGAGGCAGTTATTGTTTGGAGGGAGAGTCCCCCTCCCTACAGGAAGCCACGACCATGTGTGTCAGCAGGGAAAATGGCCACGGATCCTATTCGTCACCCGATGCGGAGTTTGCGAACGAAAGCAAAATTTTGCGAACGGTGCTGTTCGTGACCCGAATTGTTTGTGAACAGAAGCGTTCGTGATCTGAGGTACCACTGAATTTGGAACCCACCAAGACAACAAGATATTTCAGCCATGGTGCCTGACTAAAAGGATTCTCTTAAAGAAAGCCACAGTTTATTTGCAACTGTGGATTGTTGATATGCGTGTTTGCCAACCTTTGAATTAAGCTGTTTTTCTTCTGATAAAGGGGCAAAGAAGATGACTTTGGGTGTTGTTTTATAATATCATTTCCAGACTTTTATTTCCCCCTTTCTTCTTTTTTAAATTATTATCATGATTAATAATTTTGCAGACATTTTGTTAATATTATTGTGTATATCTAAACTGTTTCATTAATGTAGAATGGTGATGATGATGATGACTTGATGATTGTCAAGATGGTATACAAATATGATGCACAAATACATGATAAGTTGCAAACTTCATATAAGTTTGCAAACTTATATGAAAGAGAAAAGCATTCCCTCTCTACTTTCAGTCAGATTTGTAAATTCAAGTGACCCCAATAGTTCCTCACTGAGGCCTAGAAAGCAGGGAGGTTAGGAGAGGAAGGTTAAATGAAGGAGTTTTCTTCTTAGTAGTGGCCCTGAATGAACCACATTAATATTCATACTGGTGAAAAGCTGCCATTATTCCAATAATACTTGATGGGAGCAAAACAGAATCTGCTCTCCAGCGCCTATTATGCTGAGAGAAGGTAAGAGGGAGGGCTGCAAAATTCACAGAAGATACACTGCAGCTCTCAAGGAGCTCTTTGTAAGAAACAGAGCTTCTATCGGCCACTTACACATCCCTCTGCCATAATAAGAAATGTTATGATATAACAAAATTAATTCCATGATGCACCATTTCAAGATTTCAAAGGTGCTGGCCTTTTAAGGACTGGAGAGGCCACAGAGCATTTTGCTGACTAGATCCCCTTTTCTCTGGTGCCAGTTATGACTATGTGTCACAGCAGGAAGTCAGTAATAAAAAGGGAGGCGTGAGATGCAAGCGTACAGGATGGGCAGCTGGACCAGAGGATAATTCAGGGATGGCTGCTGCAAGTGATTTGAGGGAACTGCTTGATGGCATCACATGAGCTTTACATAAGATGGAACAATTCTGGCTGTTTGAAAAACTGACAACACTCACTGAAGATTACTGCACATTAACAGCTGCTGTGTGGATTATCCCCTTCACCTTTTCAGGAAAAAGTGTTCATTCTGTGAAAATACATGGCATCTCTTGAGCATCATGGTGCCATCAACACTTTCTCAACCTGCTTTACAGTTTCCTCCCATCTCCTCCCAGCCTTGTTCAAAGCATGTGAGTAGTAGCTTTGAAGCACAAAAAGAGGACATGGTCAAGAATTAGGACTTTTCGGGACTTCCAGGGAACAAAATGACAAACTGAAGATGGCTCACTGACCATGGCAGAATGAAGAGCTGGCAAGCAGGTTGGCTCTTTGTAATTGGACAAGGAGAGGACTTGAGATAGCCTACAAGTGCGCCATACAGTTGCTCCTTGTGAGGAGTTTAGAGCTCTGGGAGACGAGGGAATAACCATCTTGCTGAAACCGCAGTTCGGCACCTTCAAAAAGGGCACTGGGTTCACATATTTCCTTTTCTAATCACTTTAGGAAATTCCTTGTTAACTGCTTTTCTGCTATTAGGAACCTTTGGATCAGCATGTTTTAGAGCACTGGGTGAGTTTCCTTCAATCCTTAGCCAAAGAAGCTTTAAATACAAGTTTAAGGACTTCATTTTTTTTTCTTTTGGAATAAACAGCAAAAGGGTGATTAGAATCTTGATTTTGGAAAGTTACAAATGGATTAAGGGTCCAGATGAATTTAAAATAAGATTTTGGAATTAATTATAAGAATCCTTCCCGTAGGAGAAAATACTTTTGTTTTGAATTCTCTTTAAAAAAACAACAACACATGATTAGATGAGACTTTGAGGGTTGGACACTAGAGGGAACCAGAAGGAACTAAAGATTACAATTACAGAATGGAGCAAAATATTTTATTGAAGGATAATTTGGAACAATGGACCCAGAAGTTAATTTCAAGAGCATCTGCCATTATGGATAGACTGTGTTTAAAAGATGTTCTGGAAGAGGAAGAAGTTTTACCGGACAAGACTGAGACTGATCTGAATGTGGATTTAAAAATGATAGGCTATAAGAAAGATATGGAAAAAGATGCCACACTATAAATACAAATTAAACTGGCTAATGTCTTAATAATTAAAAGGGATATACAAGTAACAAACCAAAAGAGTGACCTGGATAATTTTCCTATATTGGATTTGCAAAAGAGGCTTGTTAAAGCTTTGAAGAATTTTGTGAGAAGGAACAAAGAAAAACATGAAAAGAGATCAAGTTCTAGGACATTATTTGAAGGGATTAAAGGTCAAGCTTGTTAAAAGTAAAAGGAATATAAAGTTGGTTTATTTGATGAAGGTTAAAATAGATATGGTGTTATCTCTGGCAACCCATGGGAAGAAGAGATCATTTGTCGTATTTTAAGAGAAGGTGATAAGTTACTAAAATGGTTTATACTTGTGATGAAGAGGGAAGTAATTTCTTTATATATTTCTTTTCTTTTTCTTTACTATATTCTTATTTCTTCTTTTCTGTTTTTCTTTCTATTTTCCATTTTATTCTTTTATTTCTTTTAGTTTGTATTAGTTTTTATCTTTTTAATTGTATTTTCAAATAAAATTGCTATATATAAAAAAAAAGAATTAGGACTTTTCCTCCTGGCCCTTGATGTTTCTTCCACTGTCACCCAAGCAAGTTCACAGAAAAGAGAGGTTATTTCTTGGGTGGGGGGCATTTACTTTATGTCTTTTCCTTTAGTTGCTCCTGAGATTTCAGCATGATAAGAATTAGGGATTTCAATTTGATTTATTTTCTTTATTTTAAATGAAATATGAGATTCTAAAGAAATTCTAAATATTTGTACTTTTGTACACTCAGTTGCAGCATATATGCACTCATACCTTAATCAGGCGGATTCCTGTCATATGTGGAACACGAGAAAACTATCATTTGGTAGCTGTGAAAAATCATACTGATGTCCTTAAGCACAGCAAAGACAGTGGTGCCACTGTATGCCTTTCTGTCATTCCTATTTGTGGTTTATTAGCAGCTGGAAAACTGTACTGAATAAAACTGATTTGTAAAAACAGCTTTGCTTTTAGGGGTTTCGAAGAATTGGCATTTGGCCTATGGGCATGAAAAATGCAATAGGGAAAAGTCACATTTATATTGAAATAACATTTTATGTGCTGTTCCCTATTGTCTTATTGAATTTTGGAGTGGTTTATCAGCTATGCTCCAGACTACATGATAAATTATTCAGTTCTTTAATGTACTTGGCATCATTAACATGACTTGATTTAGTACCTTTTGGTTAGGATTCCAAAAATCCTGGGGACTAAGCCTGAACTTTTTAAAAGAGTGGTTAGCACAGGGCAGTTTTAAAAGCAGTGGTTAACAAAACCAGAGAAGTCTTGTTTTTGTAGTTCTGTCACTGGAAAGAAAGGCCCTTTCCCTTCTCCTTCCAAATGTGCATGTATACAAACAAGTTCTTTACATGTTCCCTCTCCCCCACCCCCAGAAAACACGGAGACTGACAGGGATGTTTAATTAGTACATGGAATTTGCTTTCTTGGAGGATCATATGGTCATCTGCATACAGTCACATTGACCTTATGGACCGTCAATTAATTTAGGGAATGTTGATAAGGAAGGGATATCTCCTTCACCCTCCATACTTGTTAATGCATCAAGAAAACTTCAGGTCTTGTCATAAATCAAATGAGGAGCATCAGTGCTCCTTGAGATGCATTTGAAAGCCTTGAATACAAGATGCAGAATCTGATTTGTAATGCAAACCAGCAGTTCCCCCACATATACTAGCACTAAAATGTCTAGCGCTGTTAAGGAAAGGGGGAATAATTCCAGAAAGGAGAGGAGAGAAAATGTTGATCCAAAGTGTGTGTGTGTGGGGGGGGGGATGTCCTGATTTGCAGCCATGATATACAGCAGAGATGGGAACAACTGTGGCCTCCACATATTGCTGAAATAGAGCTCCATCATGGTTGAGCTCCTGCAGAGATGGTGGGGAAGTCATACTGTTTGGATGGTCCACAGTAATAGCTGCTATGCTGGGAGGTAAGCAAAAGAATTAATCTGTGCTAAAAGCTCCTGGTGTCTGTGATTCACTTAAGTTGAACTAAAATGTCATCATAAAGTGCAAACATATCTTAAAGCAGTGTTTCTCAACCTTGGCCACTTGAAGGTGTGTGGACTTCAACTCCCAGGACTTCAACTCCCCATGGCTGGCTGGGGAATCCTGGGAGCTGAAGTCCACACATCTTCAAGTGGCCAAGGTTGAGAAACAATGTCTTAGAGCAACAACTTTTCTTTGCTGCCATTCAGAAATCCAGGGGAGAAGAACAGTAGTAACCACAGGTTTCTAGGCTTTGTCAGAAGCTTCAAACTGCTGCCATATGTTGCTACATGAATCAGAAAATTGACTTTTAATCTAGACCTACAGATCAACAAACAAATGTTGTTAGCACTAGCCCACAAATTGGGAGAGAAATATTCTGCGTACAGATTGTTCCTGCACTGAGGCCATAATTTCTCCTTTGGTAAAATTAATTGCATTTGGGGTTTGTTTATATTTCAGGCATATTACTTCTCTCCGAGAGAAACAGTGCACAGCTAACCCAAACATTTCCTGGCTGCTAAAGTGTTTAAACAGTTTCAATACATTTTTTTCTGTTTCAGCGATTCATGAATTTCCTGAGGATTTATTCAAAAACAAAGAAAGGCAGCAAGGAGCAATATTGCTTCATATTACTGGTGTAAGTATTCCTAGGTTATCTGAAGTATGTTCAAAATGTACTCCCCAATTACCTATTTATGTTCATCTCTTCCAGAAAGCCTAGGGAATGTACATTTTCTCAGGCAAAGATTCGACTTAACCCAGGTAATATCAGGTTCTTTAAGGGAAAAGCAAAATATCCTAAGGTTGTTGCAGGAAGAATAGGATAGAAATAAAAATGCGTTGAAGCTTAGCAAATCCAAATTATATTATGGACCCTTTACAGTAAGTAAAGGGTCCATAATATAATT